ACGTAGGAAGCGTAATGGCGAACGTACAATCTTGTTACTGCGCCGCGGTGATATGAGCCGGAGCCATGGTGATTCAATAATTCAGTACTACACTCGCCGCCGGCGCTATTTCGTATCTCGGGAGTACTGACCTACATATACGGGGCGGTTACAAATGAGAGACGGAACGTTATAGTAGACCGAAGAGGTGCGCGGGACACTTTGTCCGCTCCGGTCTCGCCTCACGTCTCGTGTGGTTCTCCCAGGTACGCGGGATACGGGATTCCTGGAGGTGCTTATATACCTTCTCCCTCCCTCCTTCTCTCTCTCTCTCTCTCTCTCTTTCTCCCTTCCTCCCTCTGTTGAAAGCGACCCTGGGCCTTGCGCGGGAACAATGAGTCTGTCGACGGTGTGAAACAATGACGAGAAACGCGCTTCGGTTAACCCCAGAACTGGAGATCGCGTCGGACCGCACAGATCTCTCTCTCTCTCTCTCTCCCTCGGTCCCTTTGTCCTAATAATTACCACCCCGGCGGCGATAAGACGTATCAAACAGTGGCGAAGGAACTCACGCGGTCATATCGGTCGCGTTTGCAACGACCGTTTCCGCGCACGGTCGTAACGCGATACATTTTAATGGTCACATCGTCCGAATGATTTGGGGATAATGATTGCCGATGGGGAGAAACTTGCGGATGTGTGTCTCTCGGATGCGTGTATATCATCGTTGCGAGATAAATGTTGCGGAAGAATCGTCGTAGCGGGCGGAAGTTGCGTTCGTTCCGCGCCAGAAGAAGATCGTTCGTTTTGCTCCTTCGCGTAGAATCGGAGGATTCCATCTCCGTGAGAGTACGCCATTAAGTGTTCCGGTATTTAATGTAACTCCCGGGGAGTTCTTATCCGCCGACCCGACAACCGCGCGCAGAGAGTTGATTCGTTCTCCGACAAGAGATTTCTCCCAATACTCGGAACGGAGAATATTTCCCCGACTGGCGCACAGGACATTGTGATCAATCTTAAGCGTCGTCATATCATCGAACGAGGACGGACCTTTCATATCCCGTTCGCGTATTTCATATCAATCCACTTCTGCGCATCGAATGGATGTCTATGAAGTTTTGGACACTCGGTATGTGGAGGACGTTATTTCAGAGTTATTGCCGGTCCGAAAAACGTTAAGGTAACCTAGGAGAGAGATTGCAGGGACCTCGTTGTGCAAAACCTTTGAGCGCGGTTGTAGGTACTCGAGAAATCCTTCGGCTTTCAGGGCGCAACACAAAGGATTTGTGGGATAATCTCAAAATTCTCGGACTACTAAACCGGACCGTGTATGGCGCGCAACAGTCGCGCAGGATAGATCTCTCGGAAAAAAAACTCGAGATATCTTTTATTTATTTATTTTTTTTTTTTTCATATGAATTTCTTTGCAACATATAATCCAAAACACACGCGAAGTAATGATCGATGAAAAAACATGAATTTGTTATCTTGTTGTGTGTCGTAAATTTGTCTGTCTCTGTATTTATAATCCATTTCACTGTTCTTTTTATCGAATGTGATACGGAGAATCTATTAAATATATATTGAAGATGTATTATTCATGTACTGATTTCACGTCAGATAGACGTAACTAACATTGTGAATTTATGAATACAGATTTTAACTTCGCGACGATTATAAAGCTACGTCCGTTAAAAACGAACATTAATTCGTTCTGATAATGTCTATCACGTTGCTCGCGAAAGTTATTTCATATAACGAGATATGTGAATAGTATACGGCGTATATTTGAAAAATTTAAATTATTATAATAATTAAATAATTTACACATTTTACGTGAAAAAACGTCTAGACGAATGTTTTTCGCCAATTAACTTTTCGTATTACGTTTTGTTTCTCGCCAACACTAACCAAACTCGCGATTTATTGACTATCTCTCGTAGAGTTTTGCGGTTACTCATGTTCCGCCCAATTTTGAATCAAAATTGTAAATTCAAATATTTGTTCAACCAACTTGATTAGTTTTTTTTATTAACTAATTCTCTCTCTCTGTTTCGTGTTTTTTGTTTTTGTTTTACGTCAATTGAAAACTAACCAAATTTGCCGTTTAACGAATATATCTCGCAAATATTTACATTTGCTTTGTTTGAAATGTGTGTGTGTGTGTGTGTGTTTTAAAATTAATTACAAAAGTATATAAAATATAACGCACATTAATTAACGTATGCGCAAGGCTACGAAAATGCACTCAGCAAATTCCGGTCGCGATTTTCGCATGACGCGCGCTCGCTCGCTCGCATCTCGCTCGTTTTGCGGATAAGTAACCGAAAGTAATATAGCTCTCGCCGTACGCAAATTTTCACAGCATGTTTTCCACATTAGCGCGCCACACGGGGGGCGCAGCATGAAAAAAAAAAAAAAAAAATAGAACGCGCGTCGGAAGTACGTGCTGTCGACACGCGAATTCATTTCCGGTGTGAGCAGCGCTCTCCTCCCGCGAGTTCTCTCGCGTTCTGCGGCAGAAACGCTCTTGTCCTACTCAATTCCCGCGGGAACGTCCCTAAAATAATCCCGGGCGCAAAACGTGTCGTTATAAAAATTCCATCGTCCCGCCTCGGCACCGACGACGACGGCACGATGAGAATTTTTGTGTTTCCTCGTGCACGCCGACGTTTTTCTCTTCCGTTACCTGCAGCGCGCCCGCGCAAGATCCCGCGCCACTGTCGTCGTTTCCCACCGTCACGCGTTAAGCACGCGGAACCCCGTCCCCCTCCTCTCCTCGTTCCTCGTAAATCCGACTCTTCATAAATTTTTCATCGAAGACCGAGGAGGCACGTATAACCCGCCCAAGTCTCGGGGTACGTAACCCCCGGACACGAGGTCGCACGTTCTCTATCGATTACGCGGGCGTGACCCGCTATTCTGTGTGTGTCTCGCGACTGCCGATGCCGCTGTCGCTCGTACGTCGTCCGCGCGTTCTCGCCCGCGGTTAATTAATAAGTACGGGACGACGGTAGCAGTGGCCGTCGACGTTAATTGTGGTCTAACGTAATGAGACGCCGACAGGTCTCGGATAAGCCGCTGTCACCGACCGCCGCAACGCGAAGCCTGGGCTGCAAGCTTGTCAGCGAGAGAAAAGTACACGATAAGGCTTCCTCACGGCGGAACCTCTTCTCTCTCTCTCTCTCTTTCTCTCTCTCTCTCTCTCTTTCTCTCTTTCTATCTCTCTTTCTCTCTCTTTTCGCCGAGAGAACTTTCGCGAAGCCAGACAATCGCGGACAATTAGTTCCTGGTAATTGTCCGCGATTCCTTACAAGAGGCGGCTTCGGACGAGTGAGTCGAAATTCCGATGATTTATCCGAGTGTCTTTCACGGTACGACGTTCTCTTTCGTTCGCGCTCACAATCAGGATCGTCTTCTTCGGATCTTTGATGATACTGGAATAAGTGTCGATCGATGTGTTATATATCACAAATATATCACGATAAAGTGTGAATTGAAGATAATCGCGTTTAGCTACGCTTGCGAGCTTTTATTATCCTATCAAGCATCGCGTGATTATTTAAACGGGACGGGAGGGGGGGGAAGGAGGTGGTTCGTGCGTGACCGCGAAAGCTACGAAATATTGTTGGATTCTCGCATTGTATTAACGAATTTCCAACGTTGGATTAAAATCGCTCGTTAATACACCGAAACAAAGTACGCAAACTGATCTAATAAATAATGTATAATATATTTTTTTTTTTTTTTTTTTTCATAAAAAAAACTACAAAGTAATGCTTGGCAAAGTCCGACGGTGCGAAAAATATTTTCTTTTGACAGTGTAATAAACGGATTATTAAACACGCGTCTTTATACAAGAGTTTCAGAAGAAAACTGTTCCGAGGGAGAATAAAGATGCCTTGTATAATTTCTACGTAAGAAAATAAAATAGCTTCTTTATATTCGACCGTGGTTTAACGTTGCGGGAGGAGCGTTCCGCGAGTTAAAAATGAGCCGCCTAGGGCGCGCCTTATAGTTACAGACTTAACGTGTTCGCGGGCTTTATCGCAAGCAAACCCGGAGAGAACTTTAGGTTCGCCTTTCTTCCGTCCGACGCGCGTTCTGCTTTAGCGTCCGATTAAAATTGACCGGTATGCGGCGCAACGAGCGTGCAGTCGCGCTGCCCTCGCGCATATTAAATCCTACAACACCGTGGCGGTACACGATTTACCTTCTCCCGCACAATAGATTCGTTCCGCACGAGTTGTTGCGTCCCGCGCAAAATCGAACGCGCGCTCGCGAGAGGCTCTGTGTGAGCCGCGGGAACAATATTTCCCGCGGCTAGCTCTCATCCGCGCTTTTTCCACCCTTTCTCTCTCTCTCTCTCTCTCTTTCTCGTCTTCTTCCCGTTCTCTTTTTATCCCCGAGTTTCTCGGCGCACCGCAGCTTCCTTTGCGCTCATACCCCCCTTCGTCTCGACCCCCTTTTCGTTCTCTTTAACACCGCGCCAGTGGCAGAGCAACGAGCGCTTTGAACTTTTCCAATTTTCACGCGATGAGATTCAGGAGGCGAATGAGACGCCGGTTGTAATGTATGAGAAACGATCCTTAGTGGCGTTTGCGGTGATGCCGTTACAACGCTTCTGGACGTATTAACGAAGGCCTCTCAAAGGAAACGGGAGCGAGCGAGCGAGAGAGAGAGAGAGGGAGAGGAAGAAAGGAAGAGAGAGAGATACGTGCGATTTGTATGCGATGCAATAAATGTAAGCGCGTTTGAGGAAACGGTTGGCTGAATAAAGAATTTCAATCGCGAGATATAATTTATTTGTACTCGATTGAGAAACGCGTGCGAGAAACAGCTGCCGCGTGTAAATTAAAATTATCTTGCGAAACATGCCGCTCGTGCAGAAATTGAACCACCACCACCACCACCACGCGGTGACGCGTGCGAAGTCTCGCGGCGAGAAACTGCTGGGATTTACCATCCCGTCGACACGGGCACTTGTCAGTGATAAATGATCCATTCATGCCTGATTTCAGAATGCCGACCGCTGAGGGACACGAGCGCATCGTCCATGTAGCCGCCCAGGAGAAATTATCTCAGTTCGACACGTAGGTAAGTACCGTGTTAAAACTGACCCGACGTTGCGGGTATCTCCGCCGCGATACTACAAATTCAATTGCCAACACTTAGGAATGCCACGAAACCGGGGGGGCAACGAACCGCACATTCTTGCCGCGTGGATGCGGTAATTTCATTTATTACGACGTTCGTTAAAAGCACGCGACACGAAAGAAAGATTTCCCGCGGGTACTTAAATACCCGTAGTAACGAGTTCGCCGTGAAGCGCGGCTGTGACAAACTGTGCGCTGAAGGCTGACGTTCGCCTAAAATATCGCACGTCAAAATAGCGACGCTGCACCGATATTTTAACTCCTTATACATAATCTCTTTCTCTCACTTTTTCTCTACCGAGAAGATACGCGCGGCATCGCTGTAAATAAAATTTCGTGAGACAAGTAAATTTTGATACTTTCCGACAAGAGAGTCGTGCGCGAAGCATCTAGTGTCTAGAAAGCGGATATATCGACAAGCGGACTATACGGCTACCCTCCGTTCATCTATCCCGCGGTAAGCTTCTCACGGTCTCAAATTTACATTTCGGGACACGCATGTAGGTTTCTCTCAATTGAAATTCGATTTATCAGCGTTTGCGAATGCAGCTAGCGGTTAACCTTACCGAAACGCGCCGCCGGAGCCGAAGAGGATGAATAGATCTCTACGCGCGGTTCTACGCTCGGCGATTGACTCAATTGGCCCCGGTGCTTCTGGTTTATCTATTGACACGCGTAAATGCGCGAACAATTAGGCGAGCCAATTAATTAACGTGCGCGCCTGCCGTCGCCGTTCTTCATATCTGATCGTTATCAGAGGTATATGAAATGATGCTATTTGGCGCGGCTGGGCTTTACACCGCGCTATTTCGATCCGCGTGATTAATAAGCGTTTAAAATCCACGACGGATACAACAAAAGAAAAAAAAAAGGAAAAGAAATCGCGGATTAGTCGATGTAATTAAATATGCCTGTGGTTCCATAATAATACGATGATCGTATCCAATTATGATTTAATATGTATAGTAATTATATATATATATATAATACTCGCGAGAGAGGCAAATGAAATTAATTTGAAACAGCGCTATCGACTCACACGGTCCAGTAATCACGGGAATCGAGATTAGTCCGTATGACATACGGATTACCGCGCAAAGTAACTCTCAATTCATTATTATGTATTTAATATCTCACATTTAGCACGTGCTGACGCATCCCGCTCGCAATACTCTCGTCTCGTTTCCGATATCTATATCTAAATTTTCACCGAAATTTCCACCGTAATGATCATTTGTCATATTTTATTATTCCGCTAAATATTTTGCGCGCGCTCTGATATATATATATATATATATATATATACAAACAATAACGCCAGTTGTAACAACGCAGACAAAGGATATAGCAAAGATCTATAATATACTTCCGCAATATATATATGTTGAATTCAAAAAATCTTACCACCAAGAGAAACCAAGTTTATACTAAACTTAAGCGAACTTCCTACGGCGCGACAGAGTCACGCACTCGTTTATAATACCGTTTTGATTGTCTCTCCCGTTATCTCTGAGAAAGCCCGCCGGATGTTTCGTCTCCCACTGTGGCGAATTTTGCATAATCCCGGCTAAACAGCAAATGCCGCGCGCGATTTCCATTACTCCCGGCGCGCGGCCAAATTCGGCGTCGCGCAATTAAGGGAGTAGCGCAAAGCACCGCGTCAGAATCTTGAATCGACCATTCCGGACTGCGCGGGGGATGCCAATTACCCTACCGTCTCGATCGTGATGCTCGCGTGCGCCTCACAGAGAGAGAGAGAGAGAGAGAGAGAGAGAACGCGAGTCTCTCGCTTTCTCTATTTACTTCGACGTGTAGGTAGGTAAATTCACCTCCGTCCCCGTCCGTCTCCTACGCTCCGCCCCGCCCGGTCGATTTACGGTCGTGCGAGCGAGAGAGAGAGAGAAAGAGCTCGAAGTAGCGCGAGAGCCGTGCAGAATTTCATTTCGCGAAGGCGCATTTGCTATCCTCGGGGAGTCATCTCGGATCCGCGCTCTACGCCCCGCCTCTCCTCTCTGAGCAAATTTAAAGGATGTCCGTCATCTTGACGGATCTCGCGCGGCGTCCCTCGACGCCGAAAAGATGGATTTAAAGAGGCTTCGGGCCGCGTCGGCGCGACGGGAGAAACGGGACAGAAATGTAACCGTATTGTATCGACGCCGACACCGCAGTTTCTGTCCTGTCACTTGTCACGGCCGCTACTACAGAAAGAGAGAGAGAGAGAAAGAAAGAGAGAGAGAGAGAGAGAGAGAGAGAGACAGAGAGAGATTTCGCCGCGCTCCCAGTAAAGACTCGGTCGTCGTAACTGCACGTAGAGCTCGCCGGTATATATCTGTCCTGCGGTTTCCCCTTTATTCAGCACAGATATAGAGCCGAGAAATTAGGTTGCGTGAATTGTACGGGAACGATAACCGGGGGTGTATTTTTAACGCTGCCAATGAATGAAGATGTTTCACCTGTCTTTTCTCATCGGTTTCATGCTTATATTTAACGGTACTAATAGGAACTCAATTAAATTTGGATTTGAATTAAACAATCCGACCATGTGGAGATTGTATTTAATATTGTATATTATATATAATATACTTCTCCTGTTATATAGTTCATCTCTCTCGATGACTCCGCGTATTAACATTAATACAGTTTAAATTCATAATATACATGTAATTAAATTTTTTCGATTATAACGGCCATATATATTTCTCTGTGATATAATTCATTTCAAATTTAATCTGTTCCGAGAGAGCCACTCTGTTAAATTGTTGCGACCAAAAAAAAAATATTAACAAAATGCAGATCGTTTGATAATCACCGAAAGAATGTCGTTTTCCTCCTCACTGAAGCTCGCTAATGTTCTCTCGCAATCCGAGAGAAAAACTTTTTTTTTACCGCATTTTCATTAGTCGGAACTATCGATATTACATTTGTAGAGCGGAAAACGAGCATTGTAATGACAATGTGACTCGTTAACGGGTGATTTCAACAAAAAAAAAAAAAAACCAAAGAAAGCGCAGGTGCGCACAAAATCGGATCGTTAAACGTAAGTTTCGCGCGCGCGCGCGCGCGCACGTCGGACAGTCACGTTGCGATATTACCGCGTGAAATTATATGGAAAATCGGTCGATCTCGCCCTTTTCTTCGATCGTTTGCGTTGACCTTAATATCCGCAGACGCCACCAAGGTGGAAAAGAGGCCACTCTATCGCGGTTCGATATTTCGAACGGGCCGGCGTCGACAATGGGAGGGAAATGCAAGGTTGTGCGGCTATGTGCGAGCGGCAGCGCGAGAGAGGTTGTCTCGACGCGATGATATTCACGCGGGAAACACGTGCGCGCGTCCACGTGCGAGAAATTTATACGCGCGTCCGCGCGTGATCGGCAAAATTGCGAGCGGAGATTGCAAATCGCGTGAAAGGGTTGGTTTCGCGAAAGTTTCGGACGGAAGTCACAGAAATCGTATCTCGTGACGCGCGCGAAGCGTATTATCGCTTCTAGTAGAGATAAGGTCTGTGTGCGATTTTGCTCTCTGGTATATATATACGTTCGAGCAATTCGAGCGGAAGCGTGAGTGCCTGCCGGATACCGATCACTGGCGGCAAAAAAAAAAAAAAAAGTGGAACGCGCCCGAGAAAGGATCGAACATGCGGTTCGATTACTCACCTTGAAGAATACGTAAAAGGAACGTAGGAAGCTGAAAGGATCACGACATGATTGACAAGCGCGGGGCACGCTCGAGAACGTACACTTTGGATCTATTTTCGAATAGTAATTTACGATTGCCGTGATGAGATGTGATTGGATTTTTTTTCTGTCTCCCCCACCCGGTTGTTGGATTGTGCGAGAGATAGTTTATAGCGATCGCGTTTTTTTTTTTGTTAAAAGCCGCATTTTTATCGATTTATTCACGTTGAGTTGAGTACATATACACACAGAAATATATATCGGAATTGCAAATCCTCTTTAACGTTAATTAATTTCTTATCATACATCTTAATTAATTTTTCATCATACATCTCTTTGCCAGACATTTCGATTATCTGTCAACCTCCCCCCCTCCCCTTCCCCCGCTCCCGTTCTTGGCGATATTCGCGCTAAATATGCGACGTACACGAGGATGACGCGCTTGTGTTGGAAAATCCCCCGCACAACTTGCCGAGACTGCAGCTGAGCTTTCGTTTGGCATCCAATCCGTAGTTTAGTACGTTCCACGTTGTGTACACGCTTGTACATAACCGGTGCAATACGTATATTTGCAGCGAGTTATGTCAGAACGACGATAAAACACATCGCTCGACGCGGTTTTAAACCGCGCCAAATGAGCCATTAATAGAAAATGCGGCCGAACCCGTGTACTTCGGATTCGGAGAGAAATTAATCCATTTAAATTAAAGCGACCCGCGCCCGACGTTCCGAGGCGGTCTCCAGGCGCCTATAAATTACCTAATTAACTGCAGTTTGCGTATGCAGATCACGTGTGCAGTTTCGCGCGAAAAAGTTGAGTAAATAAAGCACTCCGTTCGATGTGATTCATTGCGTTTTGTTCAACTTCAGCACAAGATAATGATGCTTCTTTTGTATTTTATTACTTCCGGTAAGCTTCGCACGCGCAATGTGTAAAACTTTATGAAATGTATTTTATGAAATTTATCATTTTCTTGTTTTTTTGATTTTTTTTTTTTCTATTCTTTAATCGAACAGTTGTCACAAAGTTTTACACATCGTGTGTTCGCTCGAAGTTGTGTGAAAAATTGACAAATGCGACTAGACGGGATGATAATTTATCGACTGTCCGCGCGAAACGCGGAGTTGATCTTGTAAAATATGATAGGTCCGGCAAAGCGCATTGAAAGTATTATTATATGAAGCTATATAATGGGGCACGTCTTCACACGGCGTGTATCCGAGCCAATAATAAGCGACGCAAAGTGCCCAATTGATCGCGATC